GTAAGAGAATGAGGAATTTAAGGTTGTCCTTGGCTACACCTGGAGTTCAAGGTTAGTTAGGGCTACCTGAGCCTATGTTTCAAAAGCAAACAAGCAAACAAACAAACAGCCAACTAACCAAAGAATTAAATCTTTCCTGAATATTTGATACTTCAGGAGAAAATAAAAATGGGTGCAGTAAAGAAACCAAAACAGCTGCTCCTTGGGCCAAAAGGGAAAAATTTATTCCAAATTGTCAAGTCTGTCTTCCCAGAAAGCAAGGAAAATCAACAGGGGAAAAATGTCTGGAGTTAAATGGGAACCAGAGCAAGGGAGCTTGTGAAGAGGACTGAGGGAGTCTAGAGGCTATTACCATTGCCCTTGACCAGTTAATGGGCACCACAGTCATGTGTTAATGGAAAGCCACAGGTTCCAGAGATAAGGAGAATGATTCCTTTTTAGCAAGCCGGAACTTTCTTCAAGCCCCAGAGGGAATGGTGGCTTTTGTCTAAATGCCCAACCTTGGGAAAAGAACTTTCTTAGGGGACCAGAGTAGGACATAGAACACCTTCAATGTCTTTCCGAGATGATCAGCATTTTGACTTATATTAGCTCATGCTTTTCTGGCAAACCCAGTAATTAATAACACAGTAAAAGTAAACTAAGGACTGGAGAGATGGCTTAGATGTTAGGACCTGGGTTTGGTTTCCAGTAGCTACCTGATTGCTTACAATCATTCTAACTCAAGTTCTAGGGGACCCCACGCCCTCTTCTGACCTCTGGGCACCAGGCACAAGTGTGGTGGACAGACATACAGGGAAGAAAAACATTCATACACATAAAATTCAATCTTTTAAAATGTATTTAATAAGTTCAAATTTACTGCAGGCCACACATATCTCCTACTGATGCCCCTGCCTCAGGCCCTTACAGATTCAGCAAAGACTCATACTAGAGTCACCCATGCTAAATTCCATGTCTCCAGGCAGCAGCTCAACTGTTCATCTGATCTTCTGAGAAATCAGGATTGGAACAATACAGGCAAATCTTCCAAACAAGCAAATTCCTATCAGTATGACAATGAAGAGGCCTCAGGTTTAGTCTTTACACTGATGAAGTGACCCCAAATGACTTGATGATGTTAATGATCATCTTCCACTAGTCTTCCTGCTGCCACCTTACACAGACTAGAACTGTCAGGCGTGGTGGACCAAGCCTGTAATCCTAACCCTCAGAAGAAGATATGGGGATCTAGTCCTAGGCAACATCGGGCTGAGACTGTTTCAAAAAGCATCAAGAAATCCCAAACCAAAACAGATGTCATGGTGTCACCTTGAATCATCGGGAGTGCCTCGGGGCCTGCAAGGGTTCACAGTGAGGTCTAGGGCAAAACATAGTAATACAGGATGCCAGGGGGTCACTGTTGCTATACCATTAAGGGAGAACTCTGTAAATTATATGGAGTGCCTTCTTGTTGCATCTGCTGCGCGGCCTGTGCCCGAGAACGTGCTGAGGGTGTCGGGGGATTGACAACACAGAGACTCGTTCAACGATGTAAAGAAAACTTTAAGCAGGCCCCAAAAAGGTTCAAGAAAACTTCCTAAGAAAGGCTCCCTCCAGAGAAGCTTCTGCTGTCTCCTCTCTCTGGCACCAAAAACTGATCTGGGGGTGTCAGAAGAGGCGGTTAGTCTTTGGACAAGGTCGAGGTCAGGGCGGTTTCCCTGGGCAGGCCTTTTCCAGGAACTTATTGCCTCGGGCACTGTATTGTTTTTAGTAAACATGTTTTTAGTAAACATTGTCTTACAGCTGCCTACTCCCAGGCTGAAGTGGAAGTGGGTCTCTGCTCAAGGTCTGGTGTCCCCACACCTTCTGGTAGTTGTCATAGCAAAAGAATGGCCGTGTCCCTTTCTAGCAGAGTACTCCATCATATAAGGCTGGTGACTCAGAATATTCAGCACAAATAAGAGACGGTAGCTGGGTGAGGTGCTGTACACCTTTGATCCCAGCACTTGTGAGGCCAAGGCAGGAGAATTTCTGTGAGCTTGAGATCAGCCTGGTCTACATAGTGAGATCTAGGATAGCCTGGGCTACATAGTGAGACAATGTAGCAAGAAGAAATGGAAAAGAGAGCTGGTTCAGACCATTATGGTTGGGACCCGGATGGTGGAATGAAAAGGGTGTCTCCTGCAGGCTGTCCCCTGGCCTAATGAATATCAATGGCATTCGTGCACACCCCCTACAAAAACACAGGCACACAAAGTAAGAAAATAAATTTAAAAGGGCAAGTTCAGTGGTACAAGATGACCATTTCAAATTCATGGTCTTCATACAAAAACAAATCAGAAGAGCCCCAAGAATCCAGTAAGTAGTGGAATGAATTGGTCTGGCATGGTATAATTTATTACATTTGTTGTGTATTCATGAGTATGTGCATATGCATGGGAAAGCCAGAAGCTGAAGCTGGTTATCTTCAAGAAATACACTCTATTATTTGTAAGTGTTCAAGCAACGTATTTACCATTCATTAACAATTTACTTGCTTCTCCTGGGACTAGAGAGACCAGCAATAAAAGGCACTTGTTACTCATACAGAGAATCTGGATTGATAGCCAGGCCACACATCAGATGGCTCACAATCGACTTTAATTCTAATTCCTAGGAAGCCCAATACCCTCTTCCTGCATCTGAGGGCACCTACACACATATGTTACACACAGACACACCCACATACACAATTTTAAAAAAATCTTTATTTTACCTGCCTCCCTCCATCCTTTGTTTTGGAGACAAGAGTCTTCCTATGTAGCCCTGGCTGTCCTGGAACTCACAGAGATCTGCCTGCCTCCGCCTCTCTGGTGCCAGGATTAAAGGTGTGCACCACTACATGGATTCACCCTTCCAATTTTAACAATGTAAGTACAAAACTAATATTTATCCTAGTGCTTGGAAGCAGAGGCATGTGGATCTCTGTGAGTTCCACTCCAGCTTGGTCTACACAGTGACTCGTGGCTATCCGGGGCATAAAGATGCTCTCTCAAAAAAACAACAGAAAGCAAACTTCCTACTGGGTTTTACAATTTTTTTTTTTTTTTTTTTTTTGGTTTTTCGAGACAGGGTTTCTCTGTATTGTCTTGGAGGCTGTCCTGGAACTCGCTTGGTAGACCAGGCTGGCCTCGAACTCACAGAGATCCGCCTGCCTCTGCCTTCGGAGTGCTGGGATTAAAGGCGTGTGCCACCAATGCCAGGCGGGTTTTACAATCTTATTTAAACTTTATTTTATGTGGATGGGTGTTTTGCCTGCATGTATGTATGTGTACCATATGCATTCCCGGTACCTGAGGAGGCCAGCCCTCTTGGAACTGGAGTAACAGATGGTTATGAGCTGTCATGTGGGTGTAGAGAATGGAACCTGGGTCCTCTGAAACAGTACCCAGTACTCATTTATTTTTAAATTTTACATATTAATCCCAGTTCTCGCTACCTCCTCGAATCTTGTTTCCCCCACCTATCCTTCACCCACCCCACCCTCATCCACTCCTCAGGGAGGGTATGTAGCCAGTATTCTTGTTTTTGTTTTTTTCGAGACGGTGTTGTATTGCTTTGGAGGTTGTCCTGGAATTCACTCTGTGGACCAGGCTAGCTGGGAACTCACAGAGATCTGCCTGCCTCTGCCTCCTAAGTGCTGGGATTAAAGGTGTAAGCCACCATACCAAGCCCCTCCTGGGCTTTTTAAAATCAAGTTTGTGTTTCTTCAAAATCATATCAAGATGAACAGCTTCAGGCTGTTTTCTCCAAAAAGCACTTCTGTTTGGGGACTATCTTTTCTTTTCTTTCTTTCTTTTTTTTTTTTTTTTTTCCGAGACAGGGTTTTCTGTGGCTTTAGAGGCTGTCCTGGAACTAGCTCTTGTAGACCATACTGGTCTCGAACTCACAGAGATCTGCCTGCCTTTGCCTACTGATCGTTGGGATTAAAGGCATGTGCCACCACCACCCGGCTGAGCACTACCTTTTCGAGGTTCCCTGGAGACAAACAGCTGAAGTCCCTGTCAACTGTACCCAGCCTCTTATACATGGGTGCTGGGGACTGAACTCAGGTCCTCATGCTTTTGTGGCAAGCACACAGTAACTTTTTTTTTTTTTTTTGGTTTGGTTTGGTTTTTCGGGACAGGGTTTCTCTGTGTAGCTTTGGAGCCTGTCCTGGCACTCAACAAGCTCTCCAGGTGGATCTGATTCATGCTCTTGTCTAACAATCACTGTAAAGAACCATCATCTGTTTATCACACAGCATATGGCAGGAACATGAGAGAGTTAAGCCCCCTCACCACCCGGCTTTGGTGTTTTCTTTGTTCTTCAGCAAAAGGCTCACCGAAGGAGTTCAGAATAAAGTCTATAGCACATTGGGATATTTTAGGAAGTGAGTCTATGGAACAAATGTTGGCCCAGGGGTTGGTGGCCTGGGTGTGTTGTCTTGCCACAACTGTGTGTGAAATGGCAACCAGGGGAGGTGAGGTGGCAAGACACCATCTCAGGCTCTGTCTCCTGCCCCCACAACAAGGGCCAGGAATCTAGAGGAGGCTCTTTGCCACAATGTCCCTGCTGCGCTGCTCCTCACCACCTCTCAGTTACGGATAGCACTGATGAGAACTGTGCAAAAGGCTCTTGTAAGGGAGGCAGGAACCCTAGGAAGGGAGGTGGACACCCCAGAGTGGGCAAGTAATGGAAATGGGTTTTTCCTTTAGTAGGCTTCCTAGTAATAGAAGGTGCAGAAGACAGGTTTGCAGGTGATCCTCCCAGCACTTGGGGTGGGACATTGAGGGCTCTCATGTAACTTGGAAACAGAACTGAGAGAGGAGGCAGAAGGGCTTGGTGAGTTCAACACCAGCCTGGGCTACAAAGTGAAAGCCTCACTCAAAACAAAAGCAGAGGCACGCATGGTTGGTATATGTCAGGGACCAGGAAAAGGCTTCCATTTGAGTTAGTGAATAGAAAGTTGGGAATAACACATCTTGGGCACAGAAGTCTTGGGATCATCTGGCTTCAGGCCGGTGCACGAGCGAAAGGCATCCTTTTATTCCTCGTTTCCAGGGTGCTGGGCTTTGGAGCCAGTCAGGGGTTCAAAACCGCGGCTGCAACTATGGGGGCAGGATTAGATCATTTGTTATTGGTGTATACCCAACACACAAACTAGCGTTAGACAACACAAGAGAGGCGTTTCTTTTTCTTTTGGTTTTTCCAGGCAGGGTTTCTTTGTATAGCTCTAGTTGTCCTGGAAATCGCTCTGTAGAGCAAGCTGATCTCGAACTCAGAGATCCCTGTCAGTCTCTGCCTTCCAAGTGCTGGGACCGAAGGCATGGGCTACCACCAGGCTTTGTTTTTTTTTTTTGTTTTTGTTTTTTTGAGACCTGGTAAGTAGTTCAGGCCCGCCCACAACTTTTTTATTCTCTTTCCAGGACTTGCTGTGAATACTGGTGTAAGATATCCTAACTTAAGAGATAGTCTCAGGGGGTTCGATTTCCCCCACATGGATTAAAACAAGTAAGAAGACCACACTCAACACAGCTAAGTATATGAATGGTTCGTATTCCAAGCCTTTCTCCATCCGTACCTGCAAAGGTTGCATAATAATATCACATAGCCTAGAATTGGACTCCGAGTAGGCGCTCAACAAGTTGTGTTTTTCCTTCCCCTTGACAATAGACTGGGTCCCCAGGCGGTTCCTTTCTCTCAGGGCGTCTCCATCTCCGTTCGCCCCCGCAGCCTGAGTCTGGCCCCGGACACACCGGGAGGGGAGAGGAGGGGGCGCGGCGGCTGTAGCCAGGAGCCCGCACCCGGCTTACGTAAGAAGCGAGTCCCGCGCGGCCGGTCGGGCAGAGGCGGCGCCGCCCAGCGCGATCCTGCTTAAGTCAGGCCGTGCTCCTTTATACCGAGGTGTGTCTCCGGCTACTCGGGGCAGAAGTGGGCACCCCCTAGTTTCAGGCAGCGGCCACCCTTGGGATGCGAACTGCTCCCGCTCAGCCCACGTGCGGGAACCGGCAGGGGACCCCAGGGATCGCTCGCCTGGGCTGGGGTGCAAGGAAGGACCCGGGTGGGTCTAACTGACCTCTGACCCTAGACAGCTGAGCTCGCAGGGCGGAGACCCCGCAGTGCTGCACCGGCGTGGCCCCGGGCGAGGAGGTGGCGGAGGGCGGGGCTGAGGGGCGGGGCCGTCTTAAAAAGCCTCTCCTTTCCCGGTGTAGGGGTGGCAGGCGAATCCCTGCGTGCAGAGGGTGCCGAGGCAGGGATTGTCGGGCAAAGCGCGCGGGCTGCGGTCCAGGCCACCCTATCCCCTCCAAAGCCATGGCTTCCAAACTCCTGCGCGCGGTCATCCTCGGGCCGCCCGGCTCGGGTAAGGGCACCGTATGCGAGAGGATCGCCCAGAACTTTGGCCTCCAGCATCTCTCCAGCGGCCACTTCTTGCGGGAGAACCTCAAGGCCAGCACGGGTGAGGGGATGGGGCAAGGGGAGCGAGGGTGGAGACAACCTGGAAGGGGTTGGTAGGGCCGGGAGCTGGGCAGTCGCGGCACGGGTCCCCTCGGTGCCGGCGCCCTGCCCCCGCCCGTCCGCGTGTGCCTGTGCGGACTCGTACGTGCCGCGGCGCATGCAGCCAGCCGCCCGCCCGCGCGGCTTAACCGCGCCCGGAGGAGGCCGAGGCTGGCCGGCAGCGCCTCCCACTGCATCAGTGGCTCGCGCGTGGGGAGGACCTTGCGCTGCAGGCGGAGGGAACGCGAGCCTCTATGCTCTCTCCCGTAAGCAGGGTCCCTGGGTCCCCTGTTGCTGTCTTGCCGAGCCGCGCGTCGCCTCCCCCGGGCGAGGAGCTGGGGACCGCGCGCCTCCCACCTGTGGGAGTCGCGTCCGCCGGCGCGCTGGGACTCTGTGGCGCTCCTCCACCGTCCCCCGCGCGCGCTCGGGCCTGGAGCTAAGCACTGCATGGCGGCGAAAGGCCTGTGGTCACCGCAGGCGTCCGCGGCAAACTGTCCCCGCTAACTCCCCTCCTCCTCAACCCCGGCTTGGCCGCCTGGAGACTCGTTCTGATAAATTGCATTTTGAGTTCTGCCTTTCTGCAAATGGCCTTTTGAGACTGGCTCTGGGCGGATGCGGTGAAGTTGGGGATCTGGATTGCCCCATCTCTCCCTAGTCTTGCAAATTCCTGGTTTCTTTCCTCTTCCTGGACTCCGGGTTCCAAGGGGATAAGCCGGAGAAGGAAAAGCTACGGTGGGGAACTGCGGGTGGTGTACGCTTCTAGGATGTAGATGAGGGTAATTAGCAGCTCCCTCTTGAAACGTGTTACCCATGAGGTCCTTCCCTATTTGTTTTCATCTGTGGCCAAGGTGGATATTGCTCCTTGTGGGATAATTGTTCCTGAATATGCATTTCCTAGGCATCTACACGTGTGAACAGGTGGGTGGGGATTAAAAATCAACCACTTTAAGCATCTGGAAGGCCGCTTATTCTTCTGAAGCAGGATATAAAAGCCAGCCTTTTTGTTTTTGGATTCTCGGTACCCTTCCTTACCCCTGTGTCTGAGATAGAAGCGTTTATGTGTAATAGATTGTATAGTTATCTCCAGTGATTTTCAGATAGGCTAGGTAGGTACTGCACCACTGAACGACACCCAACCTGCTTAAAATTAAGTTTTTTTTTTGGTTTTTCGAGACAGGGTTTCTCTGTGGCTTTGGAGGCTGTCCTGGAACTCGCTTGGTAGTCCAGGCTGGTCTCGAGCTTACAGAGATCCGCCTGCCTCTGCCTCCCGAGTGCTGGGATTAAAGGCGTGTGCTACCAACGCCCGGCTTAAAATTAAATTTTTAAAACTTACTGGTGTGTGAGTGTGGTCCTACCATTGTGCACGCGGAGCTCAGGTTCTCAAAGTGTCAAGTGTCTCTATTTCCAGCTTTCCCACCAGCACTTAGACTTGAGATGGGGCGTTATTAAGTTAACAGTCATTTTTCTGTCCTAGTAGTCGGGGTTATAGGCGCACCTCATCCCCCAGTTAGATTCTTACTGTGTGCCGCGGATGGAACTTCATGCGGATGTGAGTGCGAGCTACATACATACATCCCCTTGTCTAACGTACTGTTCCAGAATTTGGAATACAGTTGCTGGGTGGGCGGGTGAAGGGGTGGGCGACATGAGGGCTCGTGTAGGATTGGGCTTCTTCCAGGTGAGGCTATAGAGAATAGTTGAGACAACCAACGGCTAGCAGAATATCCAGCCCATTTCATACCACCCTCTGCATTTTGCTTCTGGAATAAGTTTTACACAGAACTTGTGTGGCTGGACTAGTGGCCCTTTTCTTTTAGATGGGCAGTAGAGGTAGCCACCTTTATCGGTGACTGCACTCTGTGCACTTGATTTCGAGATCACCATTTACTGCTGTATATAGTTGCTGGCCTTCATGCTGAGGCAGTAGGGGAAACCTGGCAGCTTGATGGTCAGGTTCGCGTGGTTGAGGAGATGCCGGCATCCACGATGCTCCTCCCAAGTTGGAGAAGGAAGGCGGGCTCCTGGTGCTCTGTCTCCTGGACTCTGCTGTTGTACATGAGGGCGAAGACTTGTGATTGCTCATCAGCTCAAGTCTGAACTGTGGCTTTGTACAAGTGTAGCCCTAGGTGCTGGAACTAGGTCTGCAGATCAGACTGGTCTCACACAGACCCACCTGCCTCTACCTCCTGAGTCTAAAGGCCTGTGCCTCCCTCCATCCAACGACTCCCTTTCTACTTTTTTTTTAAAGACAGGGTTTCTCTGTATTGTCTTGGAGGCTGTCCTGGAACTCGCTTTGTAGACCAGGCTGGTCTCGAACTCACAGAGATCCTCCCGTCTGCCTCCTGAGTGCTGGGATTAAAGGCATGCATCACCAACACCCGACTTTTTTCCACTTTTTAAAAGAGCATTAAGAGAGGAGATAGCTCCAGGTGGTGGTGGTACGTGCCTTTAATTCCCAGCACTCGGCAGGCTGATCTCTGAGTTTGAGACCAGCCTGGTCTACAAGAGCTAGTTCCAGGATAGCCTCCAAAGCCACAGAGAAACCCTGTCTTGAAAAACAAAACAAAAAAAAAAAGAGATAGCTTTTCTCGACTTACAGAGTTTTGAAAGCTTTTCATTTGGCTGTCTTTTGTTCTCATTTTAAACAAGGCTAATTTATTATTTTTAAATATTTACTTATTTATTATGCACATAGCATTCTTCCTGCATATATTCCTGCAGGACAGAAGAGGGCACCAGATTTCATTACAGATGGTTGTGAGCCACCATATGGTTGCTGGGAATTGAACTCAGGACCTCTGGAAGAGCAGCCAGTGCTCTTAACCTCTGAGCTATCTCTCGGGCCCCCAATTTATTATTTTATATGTATGACTATTATATGTATAGGAACCATGTTCATGTGTGGTACCCACAATAGTCAAAAGAGGGCGTCAGTTAATGGATGGTTGAGACATGGATACTGGAAACTGGGTCCAGGTCCTCTTGAGTACCCAGTGCTTTTAACCACTAAAACCACCTCTTTAGCCCCTTTCAGTTTTTAATATTAATTTTCCTTCTCTTTTTTAATTTGTTCTTTCGAGACAGGGTTTCTCTGTGGCTTTGGAGGCTGTCCTGGAACTAGCTCTTGTAGACCAGGGTGGTCTGGAACTCAGAGAGAGATCTGCCAGCTTCTGCCTCCTGAATGCTGGGATTAAAGGTGTACACCACCAATGCCAGGCTTGTTCTAAACTTTTGTTTCTATAATTTCTTTTTCCCTTTGAGACAGTGTAGTGTTGGCTGTCCTGGAACTCATTCTGTAGACCAGGGTGGCCTTGAACTCAATCTGCCTGTCTCTACCTCCCAAGTAATGGCATTAAAGAAAGATATGTACCACCACTGCCCTGCAGGTTTCTTTTTTTTTTTTTTTTTTTTTTGGTTTTTCGAGGCAGGGTTTCTCTGTGGCTTTGGAGGCTGTCCTGGAACTAGCTCTTGTAGACCAGGCTGGCCTCAAACTCACAGAGATCCGCCTTCTTCTGCCTCCCAAGTGCTGGGATTAAAGGCGTGCGCCACCAACGCCCGGTGTCCTGCAGGTTTCTATCCCTTTTTTTGTTTTTGTTTTTCAAGACAGGGTTTCTCTGTATTGTTTTGGGGGCTGTCCTGGAACTCCCTCTGTAGACCAGGCTGGCTTTGAACTCAGATCCACTTGCCTCTGCCTGCCGAGTGCCGGGGTTACAAGCATGTGACATCAAGGCCCGGCAGGTTTCTATCCTTTTAAATGCCTTCATCCCTCTACCCTTTTCTCCCATAGTAAAAGTGACTTAAGTGTTTTTGGGAATCATCCCCCTCTTTTTTTTTTTTTCTTGAAAGTGGCTTATTGTTAGTGGACTTGGTGTGTATGATGTCATTCTATCTCTCTAGAGACCTATGTGAGAGTCTTAGGGTCCACTCTCTTTTAAGTAAGGACACCTGCTGCTTGCTGTTAACCTCCCTGTGAAGCCAAGAAGCCTTCTGAATATACAGTTTATAGCTGAAGTTTGAAGGTAACGATGAAACACAGGAAGTCAGTAGGCTCAGGCTATCTGCTACAGCCTGGATTTGGGCATGCTCTTGCCTCCTGCAGCCAATCTGGCAAAAAGCTGCCCTGCAGGAGAGGGCCTATCTGACCTCACTGCTCTAGAGAAGGAAGTCTTCTCACTGCCTTGCGGAATCAATCCATCTGCTTCCTCTGCACTTACCATGTTGATTGTATCAGCTGCTTGTTAAATACAGTAAAACCAAGGCCGGTAGCTGTCTGCTTCATCTACTGGCTGTATATATATGTACTGTGTCAGTGTACCTGGTGCTGGGTAATCACACTACTTAAGAAAATGATTTAACTTGAGCTTTCTTTTTCCTAAAGTTATCTTTTATTATTATTATTTGCATGAAGTCGGGTATGAATTATGTTGACTTTTAGCTCCTCAAGTAGCCTAGGCTGAACTTGAACTTTTTTTTCCTTGAGACATGGTTTCTCTATGTAACAGCCCTGGCTGTCCTGGAAATCACTCTGTAGACTAGGCTGGCCTCCCACTCAGAGATCCACCTGCTTTCGCCTCCTGAGCTTTGGGATTAAAGGTGTGGACCACTACCGCCTGACTGAACCTGAACTCTTGAACTCCAATACAAGGTGCTAGGATTATAGGCACGTGCTGGTAGGAGCAGCTTAATGGTGTGCCTCTTAACTGTACCTTCTCCTTATAGCATGTGTTTACGCCTGAAATTGCGGTCTGGCAAACTAATGCAGGAGAAAGGGTTCATGTTGTCTGCATTAAAAGCTACAAATCCAGTCATACATTTTGTGTGTGGGGTACCAGAAGTTAGACACCCTGCTTTAGCTTGATTAGTTTGATGGTAAGAGTGATGTTCACAAAGGACTTGATCAGCTTGGCAGATAGTTGTTCCTCCCTTGGCCTTTACCAGGCTGCCTGGAACTGTGCAGGCTGA